GGTAATTATATATACACATTTTGTTTCTCTGTTAATTTAAAATGGTCAATTGACAGCATATTTTATTATTGTTTCTGAGCCTATTTCAACCTCTTGTTAAAAACCACAAGTCTGATTGCTTTAATATTATACATATTGTTCATTTTCTAATGATATCTTAAGTTCTTAATTGAAATATGCATTTCTCACAGCGGAGCTATCTCAACCGATAGGCTGCTTGTTTATTAAATGAATATTGTGCGATCTAGAATTGATTTTCTTCTTGTCATATCCACACTATGCAAAGATGAGGATTCAAGGTCATAATTATTTTATTTTGTTCGAGAAGCTAGTTTGAATCATTTATTCTCATTTTTTTCTTCCCTCCATTTACCTTGGATGTCTGACTTTGATTTCGTTGATTTCCAGTTTAGCTGAAATGCTCTAAAACATTCTATATATTGAGAGCACACTGAGTTTCACTTAAAATATAATATAGTCAATTACTTTCTAATGTTTTATTTCAGAGTGAAACGTTCTCAGGAAAGCAATTTAGTAAAACAATCATCTGGTGCTGGATTTATAGCTGATGAGAAGCATGAAGAAGAACCAATGGACATTGAGTCTGATGCTGAAGTATCAGAATTTCCATCAGATCATTCTATTGTTTCTACGGAGAGGAATTGCATCAAGACGAATGAGTATCCACCTGACAAAATTTGTGATGTTAACAAGGAATCAGTAGAACAAATCTGTGTGAACAGGTTAAGACGCAAGTTTGCTCATTCAAAAAACGGGGTATCCAAAATAGCAAATTCTAAATGCAAGATGCCACACATAGAAATTAACAAAACAAAGGAAAGTATGTGTAGCCAACAGGAAACTAACAAAACATTGGAAACACATAAGCAGGGAACAAAATCAAAATTGGTGTCTGTTGAAAGAAACAAGAAAGATGTTGGTGTGATAGACACTGAGGTGTTACCCACTACAATAGAGAAAGCATACAGTGTAGGATCAAGGGATGTGATTTCATCCAGTATTCAAGATGTTGAGGAATCAACAATCACTGGAACCTCTGTTGACAAACATCTTGTCTCAAGTGATAACAATGAGTCCTGCTCTGATGCTGTTTGCACGACTGGACATGAAGATTTTGATGAATCAGATTCACTGTCTGACTCTACAATGTTGCCTCCTTGTAGTTCCTTAAAAATATGCAGCGGTAGCTCCGCTGGTGAAACTTCTCTTCAAAACAGTTTCCAACCTGCTTATCGCAACATCAAGCCAAAGCCAAGCAACAAAGCCAGTTATCAGGAGTTGTTATCCTTCATGAATAGTGATACAGAGGAAAACGATTCAGAGAGTAGTTTCAAAACATTAGCCAATGCTGATTGCAAACAGTCAAGGTTGAAACTACGAAGAATTAAGAAAACAACTACCAAAGAAGATGTAGATGTAGTCACAAGCAGAAAGAGAAAGAAATCAAACTATTTCAAGTTTCCACAGAAGAAAACTAGGATTGATAGAGATGGTTGTAGTCATGAGAATGTCAGTTTAGTTGCAAATTGCAGTCGTGTGTTCAAGAAAAAAGCCAACATACCTTCATCCAGTATACCAGCTGATAGTTACAGTGATGCAAGTGGTACCGATCAGGCTGAAGATTTCAGTGTGGATAATAAATGTATAGTTTTATCTGATGTTGATTCAGAGGACTCCAGTGTAGATAGGCAACTTTATAAACAGAAACTGGAACTATCGATTCAAAAAATAAGGTATTTTGTTGTTCAGTAAACCTTGTCTGCACCTTCTAATAGAGATGTCAAAAACAATATGTTTTTGTCACAGTTAGCTGGCATGTGTGATCTGTGGTGTAGAATAAATGAGGAAGTTGTACATCGTGTTGTAATAGAGATGTTCTTCTGATCATAATGAATAAAAAATTTGGTGAAGAACGAGCATGTCTTTGATGATCAAGATGATGATCATATTGCGCTCCATAAAGTTGGTACTTATTCGTCAGCTGAGGCTATTCCAAACACCCTCCTTTCTCTGTATTTTCGGGTCACTATTTATCACTGGTTTTCAAAAAATAGAAAAAATATGCTTTCAGATACAAATTATTTTGGAAAAATACCTCTTAATAGCTCCGTTGTCATCATAGATGACAGAGGGGAGCTTATGGAGTTCATATAGACAATTGTCTGTCTGTCATCTATCAACAATTGCATTTTAACTCAATTGCTTTGATACTTGGTATACAGGTACCTTGGGTGGGCCTCAGTCTGATTTGTTCATTTCATGCAGATACATGTATAACCAATTCTCAATTTTTACAAATATTTTTGGTAATAAATGATAATTTTGAATTCTTCTTGAACACTACCAATATTTGAGATTTACATTATTTTTGTAAATTTCCACTGTTACATCTCTAATGTTGTTGCTAGGGATGTAGTTCAGCTAAATGAAGAAGAGATGACCTACTTGGTGAACAAAAACGAAGGGTATCTCAGGAAGATATTTCAGGGGAAGGTAATGTTGATGTTTTAAATTTCTATGTGTATAGAAATTTAAATTTAATTAATTAATTCAATCAAATGTTTTTCAAAATCTAGAAATATCTCTTATTAGCCTTAGATGGATTTTTGGATGGATTTTTTTTTTTCCCAACTCCAATCCAAGATGACTGATTGGCAGCCATTTTGTCAATATAGTCATTATGGATTCGCACACTCTGTACATAACATTTAGTTCACAGCATAAAAAAGGCATGTAAATTTGTCATACAAGTACAAGAAGAGAGTGGCTGTGACATTTTAAATGTCTTGTTTTAACACGATTTGAGCTCAAGTTTTAAATTAAAAAAAAAAACTAAAATATAAGACATTTTTTAACAAGGTCTTGAAAAGGTCTGAAAAAAAAATTTAAACTTTGATTCAACTATTGCCTGGTTTGTGCATGTTTAATTTTGATTTTGGTGAAAAAATGCAAAAATACACAATTTTGATTAATTAAGGAAAACAAGAATATACTCACAGATATCAATGAAAGTGGATCTGCTTTGTATTGTAGATTTACAGTTGGAGACATGAAGACTACAAAACTGGAGGTATCAGAAGAAGTAAGTACATGTATAAACGTGATGGCTATGAAAGTTTACATCATACCCAACAAGTCGTAGCTTTATCACGATTTGTAGTCTACCAAGGCTAGTCACATTTCATGGGCAGTTATAGTCTTTAGATTGTGACCATTTTGGTCAGCATGAATATTCAAATTAATCAATGGCAATTGAAAAAAATATCTAGGTAGTTGGTGACTGGGACAAAATCTGACTGGCAACAAATTCCCCTCAACATAAAAAAAGATTATACAGCTTCTCAACTCTTGGTGGCACACTTCTACCCACAATTCAACCCTTAATTGTACCTATGCTTTTCATTATCCACTGTATTTAATTTGTGAACTATGAAAAGGCGTGCATGAGGCTGAGTGATAAATCACACAGTTTGCAGTCGCATAATGTAATGTGTTTGAGAGTGGATCTCAATGTGTCAGCCGATAAGATTTGAACATTTTTGGTGTTTCTGCGTATTTTAATGTAATTGTAAAACATACATTTGTAATCAATTCTGGTGACCAACAATTTTGTTGATTAAATTTTCCAGTTGGCCACCGACAACTTGGTTGCCAAAGGAAATAAAACTTTGAGAGCTTGAACTTTAGTAATCTGAGGCTACTTATTGGGTTAAAATACCAAATTCTAATGCTTTACATAATTTGTATATCACAAGTCAGTCAGGTGATACACTGAAAGCCCTTGTGGCCACAGTGAATAGTGTATGTATGTATAGATCAGCTCACCCCTAACTACTAATTACTTAGCTGTTGCCTTTTTGTGATTTCCAAATTAGTTTACTGCACAAAAGTAGTCTGCACTTTCCTCTAGAAGATTGGGACAAAAATAGCCAAATTTTGTGAGTAAAAACTGAAAATTGACTCAAATTTTGTCTGTTGGTTCCAAAATTAGGGTTCATTTCCAGAAAAAAGAGCGAAAAAATTCGGATGAGAAAGTCTGGTGGTGAAAAGGTTAATAGAGCCCAGACAAAATCATTACTACACCACAATATGTATGCAAATTCATGTGTTGATAATTGACAACTACATGAATATTTAATTTTGTTTGCTATAATTAGTCCTAAATCATCGTTTTTTTGTTTCTTTTTGTAGTTGATTTGACCTATCAAGTTCACCATGGTTCATTCAGTGAAGAACAACAGGAAGTTGTAATGCAGAGTTTGATGCTTATGTTCTGTGCCACACATTCAAAGGTAATAATCTGATCATGGTTACCGTGTAGTAACCATGGTCCGATGTAGTGCTGCTGTAGCTCACATTGCGTCACTGTATTTCTAGTAAACCCTTGTATTGCCAATGTACATGTATTATGTATTGTGCAAATAATGTCAGTTGGTCTGAAAATATGAATTGGCGAGTTGTAAATAAAAAATACAGGGACTGCAATATTTTCTCTGATGGCAACATCTCTTTGGATCATTCAATGGATGAATTTCAAGCACAGCACATTATCATTAGTGTAGTAGTATATCCTATTTTCACAAGTGAATCGAGAAAAAATACAGCATGAAAGTCATAATCACTCCAAGATGTTTGTATGAATGCCTGCAAGGACAGTTCACTAGTTAAAGTTGTATCCAATAATTGGTTAATCCGGTGTTCCATTCTATTCATATGCAAATTCAGACACACTCCTTGCAGTGTTTGTGGCAAAAGCAACGAACAGAACAAAGTTCAAGAGTTTTTGTTGTACAGTTGGAGAGTGTAAATGAGTCTTGTTTACAGAATCATTTGTATCCTAATTGTAGACAGTACCAATGTTATTTCATGGCAAATGACTCAAATCTCTAGAAAACTTTGTGTTTTTCAGTACTTAGACTATGTCTTGAAGGTGATGTGTCCTGAAGCTTTAATCAAAATTCAAATGGATGTCTGTAAGACCACACATGAAGAGACAGAACGAAACATGAAGGAATTCCAAAAACAACGACTGAATGAATCCCAGATAGTTCAACCAGAGTTTCACTAAACCTTATATTAAGGTTTGAAAGCATATTTCAGCAACATTTTTGTCCATGATAAGATTGAACATTTTAAGAACTGGAAAGTCTGTATCCAGTTTCATTTTGTGAAGAATTTTGCTTTTGTCGTCTTCTGTAATTTTTGCAAGTGTTCCATTTTCCCATAACATGTTTGTGGGCTTCTGTACGCCATATTCCAGTAGCTCGTTGTAAAACTGATATGCAACATTTCTTTAATAACAAAAATAACATTCTTTCAATAAATATAAAATTCACTTTCCCAAAGTGACTGCAGTTTATTAATATCTCTGCCCCCCCCCCCAAGTCATTAACATAGATGCTTTTGTTCAAAACATAGTCTTGCTCTTTGTTTTGTCTGTCACCAGCTCTACTTTGACACTGTAATGACCTACTAACAAAATAGGTGCTTAAATGAATATTTACAGTGGTCATGTGCCGCATGATCATTTTTTTTTGTATGTTTAATCACCAGTTTGTGCAAACATTAAAGACACTATGTTAATAAAGCTTTATTATATTGTTTAAATAAATATTCACATTATTGAAACAAAGGTTCTCATTTCTTATCTTATAAATCCACTCTCGGTTTGGATTTCAAGTGTACAGTATACAACATCCTTACTTGTATATAAACCCACTATGAATTGGGGTATTTGCTAATTTACCTATTGCACCAGAAAGGCAATGGTTAATTTTTGTAAGTGGACATCCTTGTCTGTTATATACCCCAGTAATACCTGTTGCCAAGATGTTACATTTTGTCATTGTGTACATGAAAAATCAACATGTTTGTGACAAAACCTGCCAGAAAGTGCATATTTCTGCTGACCAGAAATGAATCAAAGACTCTGATATCATCTTCCGGTATTTAGGCATCCTGGTAGCCAAGCAACCAGAGAACCAAAAACAGTGTGTTTACTAGATACAACATTACTGTAATTTACATGACACAAAGTCAAATCTGTGAATATAAAACTCCCCAAAAAATGTCATTAAAGTGGTGTCTGATTATTTGACATATCTTGTTCAGAAAACAATGACTACTGTTGCAAAAAATGCAAGTTTGACTTGTGAAATTCTAATTAGTATTTCAGTCTCTTAAACAAGCAATTTGTTGCTGAAAGGTTATACACAGGTTGCTCATATGGTATGACTGCCAAGAATAGTCTCTATAGGCAGGTGATCTTTATATTAAGGTAGTCACTAACACTGGTTTGACAAAAGTCTTATCACTAATGACATTATTGTTAATTTTTCTTAATACCCATTACACAGAATATTGATTACATATAATTATTATTTTGATAATTTATGTACATGTAAATATTGTACAAAAAATGATTTATATTGCTGCAGAAGTTTTATTATTTGCTGGCCAAACAAATCAATATCATACAAATAAAAGTTACACCATTTCATTTCCATTTCAGTAAAAACTTTGTTTCACCATAGTGTAAATGTACCAATAATTATACGGTTCAGTACAGTGTGACTTATTTTCAATTTTTCCATTTGACACCCTGGAAAAGAAGGAAAAGAAAAATTAGTACAATGATTTACAACAGTAACAAAACAATTGGCCACTGTTCAATAACGATGAAACATTTTAAAACCTAGCAGTTTCATGTATTTGGTTTTTCAATTGTATCTTTTCATACTGCAACGTATTTTTGAATTGTGTCTTATATTCAGTCTTTCTTCTGCAATGCACCAGGTCATTGCAACCATATGCATTCATTATGGGACCTATAGTTCGGGTAGCAATATACACAAAATGTAAACGTAAACCCTCAAGTCAAATGTGTTTATTTCTTCAAAATTTGAATACACTCGTTTGCGATGACTTCCCTTTAAAATTCATTTTTGCCTACGCATATCTCTGCCTTTCTATCAATTCCCCAGCTCGGCTGTCGTGGCACAACCACGTGTGGATTATATACAAATGTTGACTTACTGTACTTCTGAGAGCCCTGTCCAGTTTAATCATGTCTGGACTATTGTACTTCAATTTACCACTAGTACCGTATTTCTGAAGTTGTTGTCTATCTTTCATCTGTACCAATGTATCAATCACAGCACCATGGCAGTTTAATTTATTAGCTAGTGAAAGTCTCAATTCTGTATTATCAATACACATTATATACTTGCCCATTACCTGGAAAAGAAATGGAATCATCCACAAGATTTTGCTTCATTTTTCCAAATATGTCTATTGTTGTCATGACAAATTAACAATTGAAAGGTATATTGATGCGACTTCAAACCTATCCTAATGTAATTTACTGTATAACTGAAAACTAATATTTCAAGCAAATCACTGCCTCCTCCCCAAGAACCAAGTGAATTGTTTACCCAATCATTCGTCTTTTGGAAATTGTAAGCGGTTTCAGTATGCAATAGGCAACAATGGAAAATTAGTATTGTCAGATTTCACTGTAGATTACTCACCTCTGGTGGAGCATTCATTTTGGATAAGATATCAATTACTTTCTCAAATCCTATACTGGCTTTCATCTTAGTACCACCAAACCAACCCTAATAAAGTCAAGGTGCAACAATTTACTGTGTATCATTTCAAAACAAAATCAATGAAGAGTAACAACTATTCCAAGAGCGAAAGACCCATATATGGTTAAAGCGTGGTAGTCGTCTCTCAGCACGTGTTCGAATTTCATGTAAATAAACAATGTAATTTACACGCGTTGTATATGTCGCTATGAGTCCCATATCGAACAGGAGGCGGCACGACGACTGTCGCCTTTAAAACAGTGATTTATATATGGGATTTAATATAGTCTATATTGGTCTAGTTGATATTTGATAGCACCAGAGTTTATACTCTTTCAGAAGCCTATTTATCCACAAGCTCAATTCTAAACTACTGTAAAATACTTTATTTTAGCTGGAATTAATTTTCGCTGAAAAGACATTTTGGGTGTTTTGTATTGAATTTATTTTCACTGATTTTTTAAAAGTTGAATGTAAAATATAGGATAAAAGGTATATTCGCTAGATTTTATTTTCACTGAATTATTCCTTCAGCGAAAATTAATCCCAAGCGAAATAAAGTATTTTACAGTATTTGTCCATAAGCTCATTTCTCAACTTATTATTCCTCAAATGTATATGAGCTCAATTTTCAACAATAGACCATTTTCCGTACACTGCGAGAATCACACGTTATGCGTGAAATCGAACGTAAAAACAGGACAAACAAAGGTCATAGCGTCGTAGTGGCGTCAAACATCGCGTGGGATTCGACAAACGCGAAAGTATTTTGGCGACATTTCCATGCTTAATAATGTGCTGTCCACATTTGATGATAGGCAATTTCGATTAAGTAAGGGTATTCGGAAGCAATATTCCTCTGTCGAAGATCGGCCGGTCGATGTGAGCTACGAAATAAAGAAATTCGAGTTCAAAATCAAATCGTTTGATTTTTGCGGCAGACGTTCGACGCGCGTCTTTCATGCATCTCGCGAGATCTCGCAATTGTACGGAAAATCACCTATTTACAAAACTTTGCCTACCGAGGGTTAATCTATGTATTTTTTTATAAATATTTTGATAAGTTTGAACCAAATGGACATATTTTCCTATTGGCTGTAGCTAAACATTTTTGAAGAAATCTGGAAAAAAATTAAAAAATGACTTTGGCATGCAAAGGGTTAGAAATTCACATGTATTATCTGCCCTGGCAGAGCAAGGAGCAGGATAATGATGAATCTGAAATTCATTGTACATGTGTTGAATTACACCATATATCATGTCAGTTCAGTGTAATAAAACAGTCTAATACATTTCTATATCTCCATATTACCAATATGTAATACAAATCCTGGCAATAGGATTGGTGCATGCAAGCAGATTAAACTTTTGACATCAATATTTCAAGATATTGGTAGTTTTACACAATATTTCTATTGAGAATTATAATAATTCAAATATTTCTGGTAGTTTCAGATGTCGGCTAAAAGAAGTGTATGTTTGTGATGTCATTTCAAAATCTTTAAACCTCAACTTCGTTGTTCACAGAAGCCACCCATGTCTAGTGCTGATTTTTTCATGGATTATGAAATGACCATCGTTTGGATTGACCTAAAAATTCGTAATCATGCTACCAATGCATCCCCAAAACAGATTAAATAAATACAGTGATAAATCAATAGGTTAAACTAATAGTAATTAGTGTTCATACATGAAAGGTGTCCATTTATGCAAATGAGCCAGAACGAACTACGACCTTTAATACACACTCACCAGTTACGATCACTGTCTTAGTGTTTAACCCTTACAGGTGCAAAATGGATACATAGGATAAAAAGGAAATCAAATTCATGACTCCACAATATCCAAACGTATACATTTTTATTAGTTTTTTTACCAAAGATTTGGAATAAATGAAAATTACTTAACTTGGTCAATAATTGTAGATCACTCATGAGATTTCCTCTATATACAATGTATATGTATGTATATATATTTACCTTGGCAGTTAGCATGGTTTCTATGTCTCTCCACCTTCTAAGTTTAGTTCTAGCTGTAAGTGCTGTATATAGAAACTGATTCTCTGTAAGTTTAAAATCTCTTCGCATTGAGAATGGACTTGAAATATCATTCTGGAAAGACAAAAACATAGTTCACCTATTGAAGCCTTGCACTAATAGTTTAGTATTTAGGAATAATGTTAACAAGCATTTTGCAATGCACAGTTCCTGTTGTGTACTTAATCTTAAAGACCATAAGCACATAGAAATCTGTTGTGTGTTATAAATTAATTAATAAGCGTTTTGGTGTGTGACATATAATATAACAGCAGAGTGAAAACCTGTATCTCATGTTATTTTTCACTATGGATATACACATGTTATGCATGTGACAATGAATATCAAATTTATAGCAAGAAAACAAATGACAGCATCATATCACAAATTATTAGACAGTATAAGCACATTTTGATGATTTTTTTTAGCACTAAAATTACCATGATTTGACCAATCGTGAATTGGATCGCAAAATAAATACATCCAAAGATGTATGATGATGTGTGAATTTTAGGTATGTCTAGGATACATGTGCAGATGGAGGCACAAAGGTCACATCTCCGTTTTCAGACTTTGTCCAAATGGGGACTAACAATGATATACAAATATATACACTCTTGCCGATAAACATTCAGTGCAACAACTATGTCTTCTATTTGAAAATGTTTAAATGCTTACGTCGGGTGCTTCATAGTGATACATACAACAGTAAAACAGAGTCGTAATCACAGGTAAAAATGGTAGCGTAGTCACCCTGGGAACCTCTTTAAACATTATATGTTTCCCTTCTTTTTCTAAATGGACATCAGTTTGCTGAAAAGAAATATCGCATATTGTCATTCAAACTGAAATATAGCTTATACATATAGGCTTTAATCCCTTTTCATAATATACAACTACGTACACCATATTTACAGCACTGACACTGAACTGTTACTACCAGTAATGACCTCAAACTACATAAATACAGAACAGTAGCTTGGAATCTATCCGAATTCCATGGTCTGCAAGACCTCTCTTACAATGTCAATAAGCAAAGATTATTTTATTTTATAGCTACGATATGTATTTATTTTAAAGGGTGTTGGTCGACCACAGCCCTTTAAATGCTGTAAAATACTTTATTTTAGCTGGAATTAATTTTTGCTTTTTGGGTGTTATGTATGGAATTTATTTTCACTGATTTTTGGCAAGTTGAATGTAAAATATAGGAAAAAGGGTATATGAATCATTCCTTCAGTGAAAATATCGAAAATTAATTCCAAGCGAAAATAAAGAATTTTACAGTATATCAAATTCAACATTGCACATGGGGAATTTCACATGATCTTCACAGGATTACCACTACAAAGTTGACAATATTAATAATTATTTATGGTAAATTTATGTCATAATTGCATTTTTAACCATTCAAGAGAAGTCTTGTAGATATACACGTGAAATGAGCTCTAAAGAGTCTTGAAATAACATTAAATGTGACATGTTCTACCAACTGGTCGAACCAACTCTTTCACATAATTTGTGGTTGAATAAATAATATACGGCCACTAGGTGGCGCCATAACCCAAAACTGAATAAAGACAGAATACAGTAACTGCAATAAATGCAAGAATTACACCATTACCTCTATCGCTATCTGTCTTTCTAATAACGCACAATGATCTTCCAAATAAGGTGTTGCTTCTGATAAAGATGTGTCGTGTTTGAAGTACTCCCTGTGCCAAAAAAAGATAAAATATATGGTTGATTGCAAGCATAAATAGAGAAAAAATAAAGGAGAAATAAAACAAATCTATAACATAATACCTGAATGTGTTTTTCAAATTACGAAGTCTGTCAGCGGGCATCTTGACAATTGACATTTTATAGTGCAGCATCTGTTGAAAGAAAAGTGTATCAGCTGTCACAAGGTGATGAAAACATTAAATAGTAAACAAAATTCAAATGAGTCAGACATTTTGAATCAGAACTTCAAAAACAATTATACCGGTATGTTAATATGCGCGATATAATGTAAATGTAAAGTTGTTATTAAATCCATATGTCTTCATTTTCAAACTTTCTCTGAACAGGAACTAATTAATAGGCTTACGCCTTGTTTCTATTTTAAGATTACAGAGAGCACAACTGAATATTTCAATGTGAGATGTAGTTGTACAACAGTGAACGCATCTTACCGCAGCCTCTTCAGTTCTTCCTAGGATTCTGAAAGTGATCACAAATTGACAATTTTGTTTCATTTCCATAAAGAAATATGTTTTTCTAATTGCAAAATCTGGGTAAACTGAATAAAAAATGCACTGCAAAAGTAGACTGTTTTATAGAGATCTTATTTAAGCCTATCTTTACATACCTGAGTATAGAGCCCATCTCGGATAACTCAAAGTGACACTTTAAATAATGCAGATAGTGGTTGATAGCAACAGGTCTCATGATTAATTCTGATATAAAAAACTTTCTGTGTAAAGTATTCTTCAGAAACAACACCACCTTGTAATGAACACATATCGAGTGTTGAGTTAAATATATAGAATATGTACCAATGTTACATTATCATGGAAATCTTGAAGAACAAGCTATTTTGCAGAGAATGATTTTGATGTCGTGATTCATGGATGAAGGGGTCTATATAGCCATTATTAGTTACTGTTAGCAATTAACTAAATTTTATACTCTGCAGGTATTTTGGGGTAAACATCATTGAATGTGAGTACCTGTATTTTTTATTTGGAAAAGGCTCTACATAAACATTGGGTTGAATAACCCTTTTAGTCAAAAACTTGTTTGAGATATTAATTATAAAGTACTATTTTCAAAAAAAATATTAAAACTATCTTTAAAGTTTAATAAAATTCACACACACCACATCAAACATTAGCATACACTAATGTACATTGTATATCTATAAATCAGACACCTTGAATCCACCACGCTATTCATCAGAGCGAATATTATGAATCTGATATTCAGGCAACATAACAAAAAATGGAATATTCATGATTAATACTAACAGCAGTTATTGCATTCCCATCATGCATTTCAACAGCGGCATCCAGGAGTGCTAGTTTGTCTGTTAGTGATTTATACATCTCCAATGAGCACGGATCTCCGTATATGAGTCTCTTGATGGTGTCTCGAGGTGGTAATACCGCAAATCGATCACGCTTGGCAGACTGAAACGATATAGACATGGTTTAATAAAATTAATCTATACACATATGGTAGTATACGAAAATACAGAGTCTTTGATTTGAGAGATGGTGATTAGTTTACCAGAACAAATGTTACTCTTTAAGATCATCAATGGTGGTTTGGTACATATACCGTAAAATCTGTATTGGAAGCCGCGGATTCTATTAAAATGGTACAATGCAACAGAGGGGATGCGGCTTCTATTAGAGCATCTACACATATGAGAAACAATGAATTTTTGGTTCTCAAATGTTGAAAAAAAATAGGTGCGACTTCTATTAAGGATGTGGCTTCTAATACAGATTTTACGGGTATTGTTTATAACGTAACACAGACCAGTGATCATTCCAAAGAAGAAATAAATCTGTTGTTACTACATACAATAATCTCAAATTTCATGAATTATTTCACTTTTTCAGCAGAAACAAACTAAAGATACTACTAGTATATTTACAATTACAGTATAGTTTTACATACCTCTAAAGAACGTTGTAGAAATCTGACTTCTGTCTCTAACTTTGTAATCTCAGTCAGTGTTGCCTGTCGTTTGGGTTGCGCAGCATTAACAACTGAAAGCAATGAGAAAAAAAATATACAGTCAAATGTAATCATCACATAATAAAATGAAAATAATAGCATACAGGTGAACATAATCGTCAATCATCACATAAAGAGAGAAACAGACGTGATATGCTCGGTAATACTTACTTTCAGATATTGACAGTTCATCAGAATACCCACTTACTGGTTTAGTACTACCTGAGATATAAAGACAATAATTACGTTTATCGCGTATATATATTAAAGAGCAATTTAAATCTGGGAGAGACAGTAAACCTGTTTAAACTAAGCTTTGAGTCAACTGTCATGAGCTGTTTAAACCATGCCTTGAGTCTACTCATATATTGAACACCATTTTCTAGTTCTCCATAAACTTGTCAATCAAGCTGGTAGTTTCCACAAACCAGTTGGTGATATCATTTATTTACCCAAAATGACAAAATTATTCAATAAAACAAGAGAATTGTACCTACATATCACGTACAATTTATAAATTTAAATTGTCACAAAATGAACAAATTAGTATGAGGTCACCCCAATGTATACATACAGTAAATAAGAAAGCAAGAAGTTTTCATGAAGTGTCATGTCTGTCACTGGACAGAATCATGGAAGGGTGATGACAGACAATCAGCACAGATAAAAAGCTGTAAATATTCCACTGTAAATAGTTAACATGCAATTGTCATTTGGTTACAAATGGGTATAATTTTTTATAGATTTTATTGATTAGGGATGTTTGGTACACATGGTGTGCTACGTACTTAAACTCTTGCACAACACTGTAGAATAGATAGGTGTATATTATTATTACATACCTTGACTGGAGGTTTTGGAATAATTCAAAGATGAGGAGAATGATTGAGTTTTAGCTGCTGACGATCCTAAATTCAATGATGCATGAATTGTTTTGGATTCATTCACAGATGTTGGAGGTCGGTATCTGGCTGATTTATAATCTGTAATTCAGTGATAAAATCAACATTTTAGCATAAATAGATTGTTACATAAAGAGAATGTATATGACTGTAACCAAGGTGACAGCAGCACCTATATATTGCATTTTTATTTTCAATATTTCAGCACATTAATTAAGGTTATTTCTGTAATTACAGTATTATATGAGGTTATTACGAGAATACTGCAAAGTATGCACGAAGACAGTACAGCGAGAGTATCGGCCGGCGCTCAGCAGAGGTTGATATGAGCGTGTACTGTCCGAGTCAAACCCTGGGGCAGCCACGTTTTGTTTTTTATTATTAGAGAACGCTTACATGCGTAATCGTCGTTTCATATTTGGAATTTGTGTTTTCTAATATGGTAGGATGAAAATACCCAGTGCAATATCGCAAAATTACGGCATGCTGTAACTTATGGTGTTACGGTGACAGATGTATAAAAATAATTCCATTTCACTCTGAATTCCGTAGATGTTTGCAAACATTACTGTTTACTGTGAAATCAATTTATCTCATTCTTGCTACCTTTATTGGCTCCATCCCAGGATATCACGTCAACATCGTCATCATCATCAAAATTGACTGCTTGACGAATATTCTTAGACAGCTCACTGGCTTTTTCTTGCTCTTTCACAGTCAACCAACTTCTCTGAAAAAGAAATGTACACAATGCTGATGTATTGTTTTTCAGTCCATAATAATAAATAAATTAAAGTACCGGTATATTTTATGTGACAAGTAAAACTTTGGCACTATGAAATCTGAGAAAAGCAAAAAAAAAGTTTTAAGACTCACAAATGGCGGTATCTTTACCATCCAAGGATGTCTCTTATTTTAACTGATTAATAAAACACATTTTATAAACTAAATTTATGAATTACAGCCAAACTTTCAATAAAGACTTCTCATAGTGACCACATTTGTGCATTTCCAACTCAATCAAGACAGAGAAAAATATTTTTATTTATTTCCTATATTAAAATATTTTTTGACAAATTATTTTCATATTTTTATTCACAATTTACTTTAAAAACCTCCATATAAAAACAATATATTTTCCTTAGGTACCTTGAATGGTTTCCATACACAGTTTCGACTGTACCTAAAAAATATTTCAAAATGCAAGCTCAAAAAAAAATGTGCAGGAGACCAGTGAAATTATTATAACTAATCAAATTCATAATGCAGTGTACACATTTGAACTTGATACTCACAGTGTCGTCAAATTCAGTTACATTATCTTCAAAATCAAATGGATTTGTCAATGTTTCTTTGCTGGTCTGGTTCCAGTAGGAATCATCTTTGTCTGTTGATTTCTACAATAAAACAATAAACCACCAGTTTCATAACACTCAATTACATCTTGACAGAAACAAAGATGGTGCCAATGGAGGTAGTTCTAATTTCGGGGTCTAATATGAGTCATTTAGCTGAAAGTAGACCAGTATTATTGCATGACCGGGGTGTGGTAAACTTGCATTGTACCAACAACAAAAATCATGTTTCTCGTCATTGTGTGGTAACATTCGTATTTTAATTCATTAAAAGTGTGCCCTCTATGGCAACTCAATAAAAGTGTGCCCTCTATGACAACTCAATAAAAGTGTGCCCTCTATGGCAACTCAATAAAAGTGTGCCCTCTATGGCAACTCAATAAAAGTGTGCCCTCGATGACAACTCAATAAATATGTGCCCTTTAATGACCACTTTCCCGGAAGTCGAAGATACGCTATTTCGTGTGTGCGCACATGCTGGATATAGAGTGTAATATAAACATGGACAAGGGAAATTGTACTTCTGGGTGTATCAATCGACGTCACAAAAATAAAATTTCTTCTATCAAATATCATTAATATAAATGAATAATGAAATATAATAAAACGACAGCTGTGTCTTAAAGGTAATACTAGTACCCTATTTTTTCTATTAGTGGCAATTTACCTATTTTATACTTTATCTTTTTCTAAACACAAATCATTATACATGTACGTATATATACAAACGACTCCCTTAGTGGTTGACCATTAGAACTCAGAAAGCATTTTAGAAAAACATACATATTTGTAGAGAAAAGCAAAAAAAAAAATACAGGGACATATGACAAAAAAATTAGTGGAGGCGGTAGATAATCTGCATCTACCCATCCAATGGCCAACCCTTTACTAACTGAGCGGTTGTAATTAACAAGATAGATAACCGGCATCGGCCCTAAATTGAAATGATAATTATCACTGTTACAATCGTCGATGTGGCAGCCACTTGACATCGCACAATACACACACATCATATTTACAGAATTTGCTATAACGAAATGTATGTTTATGTGACTGTCATTTCCGCATCGCCATCTATCGTAGATATCGTACAATAATCTTGAGCGACCGCGGCCGGCTTCTAAACACCATGATATTAAACACAGATGATCAGAGGGTTTTGTCGATCAGTAACAACCCATGGTCGCTAATATTACAATATCAAGGCAGAGACTAAGACTAACGAACATAAATGTACTGGCAATTGCGGGTATAAAATTGTCGTAACTAAAATACACCCACCTTCCAGGACGCCATGTTTGATGATACATGAAGTCGTTTCAACCGACACTTGGTGGCGCTGTGACATAAAAACAACAGTGTACACATAATGCACGCATAATTAATGTAAAATTGACTAATTCTAGACAAATGGCACACATTTTTTTTTTAAATACTGGAATGTTACTGACGGAGAAGAATAAAACATATTATTTAAGCCAGTGAAGAAAAATACATGATCAACAACTGAACTAAAATTACCCATGATCATTTCTGTAAATCAATCTAAATGAATTTTAGGTATGCCTATGATTATTTGCATAGTTTGTCTTTTGATAGGACGAATTAATTTCCACGTGCTCCAAAAAACACAGTTTTGACTTTACATTAAATCACAATCTGGTGTACATTTCAAAACAAAGTATACAACAGATATATTGCAAATACTCGAAATAATCTGCATTGCCTCCGTTCCTGTCAGAAATTCAACACGGGGTACAGCTCTGTCTCGATGCTATATCAGCACATACCAACTAAGCATAAGTAGCTTATTTTCTATCCTTGAAATGTGCAATGTTATCAGCTATGCATGGATACTAGCAAATTTAAATAGCAATTTCAATTGTATGTATTAATTGGTATTGTCTCCAGAAAAAAAACAGCGTAGGACAGAAAGCTAGATCGGTAGAAACTTTTATCTATATATATTTTTATAAATAAAAATAGATGTTAGAACTCAAGTTCATCAATCCAGAAATGCCATTGTGAAATCATTGTTAATTTGTTATGTTAATTAATTTATCATCAGCAAGCGCTTCATTTTGAATAAGTGGGCGGTTACAGTTGCTATGTCACGTCATGTCAGGCGGGTACGTTTAAGAACCGGTTAGTCGGTGAAAGTCATTTCTCTTATCGCAAAAATGAGATGATCTTGTCCCTCGATTTAAAAAAGACCAGTGACCGACTCCATAACAACTTTGAAGAAACAGTTGACCTAAATCCAGCTTCCTGAGCATGAAACTGTGACAATTGACAATAGTGTCATTTTAGCGAATTTACGATAGTAAATAAATTAACAAAATCTTAATTTAATTTAAGCGCCAACATTCTCACTGTGAGAATATATTTTCAATACATGCTATATATGTGTTAAAGTACTTTCAAGAGTCACAGTTATCACCTGGCTATTTTCGCTTGTACTTTACTGTATTTTCTGTGTGATCTTCAGGAATGTCCAGTCTATGTTACATCGTTATTAACTGCCAACATCTTAGTAGGACAATTTTGCATGCATTTATTAACAAAAATTTTTACAAATTTTTAAGGTTTTTCATCAAAATGCCAAAAATACATGACCCTCGAGTACGAATATGCAAAATGTTGAACCCAACGTTTGTTACAATAACAGCAGATTTACCGGGGTATCTCCGTCGGACCATGGTAAAGAAGCTGTGAACATAAAGCAACATACTTACTAAAAGAAGCATTGTACATGTATTAACAATTATGCCTAAAATACCTGAAAATAACAAAAAGGACACTGCATTTCTCACTATTTTGTTTTCTAAGTTGACTTAGCCAACTGCAAACGACGTCGGACTCTCGACGTCACAAGCAAACAGCGCCACCACGATGTTTAATAGTGCAAGTATTTCCCCTGTACGATGCATTTTGCTGTGACAAGTCCGCTGTAGGTGTTTTTTAAGTTCATATAATGTACATATAATGGACTGATTACCTCCAAATAAAGGCAAGTCAGTTTTCTTATGTTGTCAATCACAAAAGGAATGCATAGCATCGACTGGTTTACTCTGAAGGGAAAATTGAAGTCCAATTTCGTCGAGCCTCTTGAATCACATGTTCGATTGCTACCCGCTAACTCTCACTAGATCACCGATAGCGTGATAGTTATTTCAAGTCATCTATTACAAGCGCTCTTATAGATATATCGACTGTTGTACAGGCGTATATGCAACTCATTTCTATAGGTGAGTATTGTTTAAAGGGTGAGCCGAGTGTGATTTCTAAAAGCGGCTGTAAACAACAAACATGGCTGAGCTTCGTGGGTCAAAGGTCAACGTGATGAAATTTTATAATCAATTGGCGTCTCATCATTACGTTACACATGTACCGTGGAATAACATTGGTATTGTTTACAATTGAAGTTTCTGAAGTTGAGTTTTCTTGGTATTTGTTGCATATCTTAGACTTTCATGGTATATTTTGGTGCTCCATAATTATTGTTAAATGTTATGGGAGTGTAATTTGAATAATAAGAAGTCTGAAGTTACATTCTTGCACAAATAAGAGTATTAGAAGCCATGAAATAACTATGCAAATTAGTTGTGGGCACAGATCTAGAAGCAGTACCTACACACGAATTGGTGACGTCATAAAATACATGACCTTCAATCGGGGTCGTTTCCTCGGTATATACGAATTGGTATATACAAATTACAATAAAGATACTTAAGACATTACACATAGGTAAAACAAATCACGTGACAATATAATGATAATAACGATAATAAATCCTACTAGCTTAACAGTTGAAGAGAACGCTCATATAGTCAGTCGGGTGACGCCGAGGGTCACGAACTGTGTTGCAAAATGGCCGTGTGGTTGAAACTGTGTCATGGCGTGACGCGTGAGGAAGACATCATTAAACACTCAAAATCACAATAAAACGAGGAAGTGGTTGCATATTACGGCGTAGCTAACATGGGAAATAAAAAAACGCCCAATACAAACGACATGGGTTCGAATCACACTAGATACACACTCACCAGAACCGAAGCAATCAGAAACCAGCAATCGTTTTGTCTTTTCCGTTCAACTCATCGGAACACTGGAGTAGTTAGAAAAATGAACACCACTTAACGACCAACGTCGTGGCGTGGTACACAAGCGTGCCATCAAAATAAAACAAAAT